TGGTGGAAGAGATCCATCTTTACTGGCTTTTTAAAAGCAGCAAGAGTAGTAATAAGACGAATCTCGTCTGGCAGGCCATTCCAAAGTCTAGGAGCAGTAGCAGAAAGAAGCTCATAGCCATTATCCAAATCCATTGCAAAAAACTTGTTATCACACTATCTGAGAATCACGTTGATGGTGTACCTCTATTTGTACAGCCTGAGTCTCCCTTATCCAAAATTCTGAAATCCAAAATACTTCAAAATCCAGAATTGTCCACATATCTACATGGGATAACATATATCCACATTGTCCACATATCCACATGGGATAACATCCCATGCATCTGAGGGTGGGCAATAGTCCATGAAAGCTCTTGCTATAAGAACTTTCTTAATCTGAAGACATTAGATTATTAGAAACTGGCCTCTCTGTTGCTCTTTCTGAAACATAATAACATGGCAACTCCTTGGGAAAATGATCTGTGCTTTGGTGCAAAAATAGAGTCAGAAATTAAATCAATCATAACTGCCTGGATAGTGGAAACTCAACAGGTCAAAGAAGGCATTGGCAGCTAGTGCCTCTCCTGGTGACTCAGCAGTGAATCCTTTCTAGGTTTTGGCTAGCTTTAAAGGAGCTATCCATGGCACTGAACCTATTTAGACACAGTGTTCAGCACCTTGACAGCTTCTTTAAAGCCTGCATGAAAATCTGGACTGTATTTGACCCACTGACATGGGAGCCTCTAAACACCATTGGAAGATAGTGGTGTGCCATTTCTAGAAAACAACTCATGGACATAGTCTCATCCCATGAATGATTACACCAAACCAACATCCATGGAGCTTTATTGTAAGATTCAATCATTATCACATAAAAGAGAAAATGATTGAACAAACAACAGGTCCACATTCTAGGATTACAACAGATACTACCAAATAGCAAGCCAGTGTGGTGTAATGGTTGGACTGTTGGACTAGGAATATAATAATAATAATAATAATAATAATAATAATAATAATAATAATAATAATAATAAATTTTATTTGTAACCCGCCCCTCTGCAGAGGAAACCAGGGTTCAAATCCCTGCTCAGCCATGAAAACAGACTGGTTGATCTTGGTCAATCACATTCTCTCAGCTCAGAAGAAGTGAATGGCAAACCCCCTCTGAAGAGTTCTTGCCAAGAAAACCCCAGGATAGGTTCACCTTAGGGTCACCATAAATTAGAAATGACTTTTTGTTACAACAGTAACAAAACACCCAATACTAGCCATTAAGATAGTAAATGAAAGAACTCACTGAGAAAGTAATGGTAGTAGGTTAAAAATACAGTCTGAGACTCCCTTATCCAAAATGCTTGGGACCAGAAATATTTTGGATTTTGGACATTTTTTGGATTTTAGAACTTTTTCATGTACATAATGAGATATCTTGGAGATGGGGGCCCAAGTCTAATCATAATAGTAAACACCTTATGCACATAGCCTGAAGGTAATTCTAGACATAACATTTTTAAATAATGTTGCGCATGAAACAACCATCAGAAAGCAAAGGTGTCACTATCTCAGCCATATATGTGGACAATTTTGGATTTTGAAGTATTTTGGATTTCAGAATTTTGGATAAGGGAGACTCAGGCAGTACAAATAGAGTTACATCATCAACGTGATTCTCAGATAGTGTGATAACAAGTTTTTTGCAATGGATTTGGATAACGGCTATGAGCACTTTCACGGGAAAAGTCAAGTAGGGGGCGCTTTTTCGGCATGCATCATGTAAAGACTGTGCCTTCAGGTCAGCCCCAAAACAACCCTATTAGCTCGTCTGCTTCCCCCCCAAGAGAGGGTTGCCCTAGGAAAGACCAGGATGATAGCATCTCTTCCACCTACCAAGCCATCCTATCAAAGGAGGGGGAATGCTGTCTCCAATGCTAAGCTTTGAAAGGATTCATGGTACGTTCAGTCACAAGCGGAATTTATTTATATGCAGGGGAGCGGGCTGGGCTGGGATGAGATCTATTCGTCAATATTCAAGATATCTCTTCAATTATCTTAGCTAGTCTCATTAGCTATGCAGATTAAAGCATGCACAAATTAGAAATCAGCTGATTGTCATTCTTTTGGCAGCAGCAAAGTTACAATTTGTAGCAAAATGGAAACATTAAAAATCTTCCTATTATCCAAGGATGGAATGACAAGATATGAGAAGTCTTGATAGCAGATAGAATCTCACACCACTTAAAGGCTACTGTTAATCCCACACATGATGAGGGTGATTTCTTAAGGAAATGTTGCATGGTTCTAAAAGCAATAGACATGGCTGACTGGAATACAAAAGATTATTCAGATTCACTTCATTACCACTTAACTCAGGGGTAGGCAACCTTTCCCCTTTAAGGGCCGAGGGACTTCAACTCCCAGAAGCCTCAGCCATGTTGGCCAATATTTCCATGTTGGCCAATAGCTCCTGGGATTCTGGGAGCTGAAGTCCCTTGGCCCTTAAAGGGGAAAGGTTGCCTACCCCTGGCTTAACTGATTACAAGACATATAATTATGGCTGAATTCTTTTATGCGTAGATCTGAGCACACTTTTGCCAGGGCATTAACCTTTTCCTGATGACTATGATTTTTTCTCCTTAATATTTATGTATTGTGTGTTTAAGCTGACAGTGTGGTGTAGTAGTTTGAGCACTGGACTATGACTCTGGAGGCCAGGGTTTGAAAGTGGCTTGGCCATGTAAACCAACTTGGGGCCTAAGCAGACTGGCGGCACGGGGCCACCCTGGGAAAGTGCGCCGTGGGACCGAGGCATTCCCATGCCTCAATCCTGCGGTGCACCTTCGCCGCCCCTGAAAGGAGCGCTAAAATAGCGCTCCTTTCACAAGTCAGCGAAAGTGCGCCGCAAAAGCTTGTGACGCACTTTTGCTGACTTTTCCGCCACAGCGTGTCCGGATGCTGCAGCAGGAGGTTGTCCTCGGAGTGCCGGCCGTGTGGAGGGCTGGCGGCTCCGAGGACGACCTTGGGAGGAGGAAGGGGTGCTGAGCGTGCGGCTGCCCCTCCCCTTCCTTGCCCCGAGGATGGCTTTTTAAGCCGTCTGCCGAGGCCCTTGGTGACCTTGGAAAAGTCAGTGTCTCAGCCTCAGAAGATGGCAATTGCAACCCCTTTCAGAAGAAACTTGTCAAGAAACTCCATGATAGGGTTTATTTAAGTGTCGCCATAAATTAGAAATGACTTGAAGGCACACAATTGTATGTGTGTATGTGTTTAAATTGTGTCCCATATAAGAGAGGGTGTTTTATTTCTTTCAGAAGGAATGACATTTTTCTAAGGAGTATTTTTAAAAAAAAAAACAAAACTGTTGGTGGAACACAATAAAAGTTGATGCAGAAAGATCAAACTAACTGCTGTTTATGAAACTTAAACATTTCCTGCTGTTTGGCAACAAGGCATTTGTTCCCATTCTCTGTTGTTTGAAAATATCCCTTTTCAAATTCATTTCCCTGATGAGAATAACAGCAGCCACAAGACTGTGCTCACTTTGTGAAGTCCCTGATAGTCTTTAACTGTGTGGTTTTTCTGTGCAGAAAACATGTTTTTATGGTGAAAATGTGCTCCCTGCACAGGGAACAATGTATTTTGTGTAAGAAACATATTTGCTCTGCAGACAAACTGTGTGTAACTTTGAGTAAGATATCTCCCTGAAAGACTTTCCAAAATGCAAATAGTGCTTGCAAGACTGCAAGAAAAAGTGATTTTTGTATTTCTGTGCAGTGGGAAGAAAACTGAGGAAATTATTTGTTGCCACTTGCAAGTATGAGGAACATGAAGATTTACACTGCTAGTCTTCAGTTAAGAACAGGTCACCACCTTCCCTTCATAGAGAACATCATGTGCAAAAGGACTGGTCCAGTACATTTGACTTCCTCAGAATATAGACAAATGTAAAGGTGAACTTTCTCTGAGCACAGAAGCAGCTGCCCAGAGATGTCAGTGCTGATGGGGGCTCTGTGTCTTTTAACAAACAGAACTATTAGTGGCAGATCAATACATCTCAGAGTACAGCTCATATTCCAAGCATATCTCTTGCACTGGATCACATTACATTTTGATACATTCTTGAAAAGCCAGACAAAGAACTGGACAAAGGAAACCATTTCCAAAGAGATTAACAATGTGTGTGTGTGTGGGGTGGTTTCCATTTCAATGGGGTGGTGAATCCATACTGGGGTTTAGACTGAACTTTAAAAGACCTCTCCAAGATACTGAACCTGTTTTGGTGATAGGGTTCAGCATCCTGGATAACAACTTTAAAATTCATTCTAAAATTCAGAGCATATAGACCACTTCACTGATAAGGAAGATGACACCAGACAACCTCTGTATAGTAGCCACCACTGTATAGCAGTCAGATTCCTGTGGTATACAAAAGACTAATAAATTTATTGTGGCATAAATCCTGATGGACTATAGCCCTGCTCATCAGATGCATCCAGTCAAATAGATCTGAATTTGCAAAAGCTCATGCTACAGTAAATTAGCTTTTAATGTCCCTCAGAATTCTATGCTGGGAAAAAAAGAAAGAAATCTAAGTTACTTTTGCTAGAATGAGGAGAAGCCTAGAAATAAATAGTTACTTGTCATTAATTCTATTTCCGTAATAATGAACACATAACTAACTTGCATTGTGACTGTAACCCAACGAAAGAGAATTTCATAATTCCTGCAGTAGAACAGTAACCTTTTAGCTATGTTTATTGTTAGGAGGCTTGGCCTCATTCATGGTGCACAAGGAACTTGAATACTGGAGTGTATTTACATTGTTCTGTTGTGGATGTTGCATTAACACAGTTGGCATATATGGGGCAGTTTGATCTGAAGGAGCTCCAATCCACAAATGGTTAGCCTGCCAATAAGGCAGGCTCACTGTATCACAGACCAGTGTGCTATTGCATTCAAATGCTTTTCGAAAAGGTAACTAAAAACTAACTGTGAGAAACAAGAAAGCAAGGAAATACTGTTAAAAACTTCAGTGATCAGTTTTTCAGGGGGCTTTGAACAATACCTGAACTGAATTTCTTTAAAATGATAAATTTCTCAGCTTTGGAACTGGGGATGGGGTGAGCAAGAAAAGAAAAGAAAAGGGGGACGTGATCATAAACAGAGAGAAGCAGTAGCCTCCACACCAATCTATATCCTAGGTGAAGATCTGGGCTCTAGTGTGTCTAAAGGCTGTCCAAAGTGATTCCACCATTCTGGGTGAAACTGCTTTGTTTTTGCAGTATTGGGTCACAATTCCATTGTTGATGTCCACAGGTGTAGAGGTCCATTATACCAGCTTTAAGCACTTTCCCAAATGATGTGTAGTGATGGCAGCAAAAGCCAAAGCTGTCAGGAGATAAAGCTTTCCTGTCAGCTCTCCAGCATGGCATCATTCTCTTCTGCCTTGTCCTGAGTTGTCATAGCATCCACGGTCCCTTTATCTCTGCACAACCCTGCCATCTACAGAGTCTCCTCCTTTCATCTGCAATATGAGGATAAAAATATTGAACTTCCTCCTCATTCTTCAGTAACAATTAATGATCCAATAGGGCTTTCATTGAGCACATGAAACTTACCGTATCAGTACTAATATATTAAAGCATGCTCCAGAATAAAAATTTCAAAGGCTGATATTCTCATAGCCAGTATTTTCTAGTTGCACTGTTGTAAGAGGGAAAAAAACCCTTTATTTGCATCCTTGTCTGAAGCCCTTTAGCAAAGACTAGGGTCTTTTGTGTTACAGAGACAGATCCTAGCTCCACAGGGAGGTTTACAAGCTGCAAGGGCCGGGTGATTAGGAGATGTTATACCATTGGCCATCTGTTTACAAAACCTAGTGTTTCTCCAGTCTGTCTAGGATCATAGTATTACTAAGGGTGGGGTGGGGAGGAGAAGATAGAAAGAGTAATCAAAGGGAACAATGATTATATTGAAGATGGGTTCTTCAAATCTGTAATTCTATTGACCTTTATCTTGGGGCCCCTGGGAATTCTTCCATTCTCCAGCCAATGTGATGAGTTCAGTTTGCCTTGCCTACCCCAGCTAGCCTTTGACAGCT